GCCGCCGGCGATGCTCGCTCGCAGGTGGGGCGCGCGAGTGTGGTCGCGTGCCTCCGCCAGGCCGCGCCGCGGGGGGCGGAGAGCGACGGGAGGGGGGGGAGGGCACGTGGCTGGGGAGTAAACGGGAGGGTGGGGCCGGGTGCTGCACGTCCGCTGAGGCCTGCCACGTGCCAAAGCCATGTCCGAACTGATGACGAGGCCAGGAGGTTATGCAGCTGACGACTTATTGAGGCGACTGGGAGCCCCACGTGCGATCCCCATACTATTGCAGTGTGCCTGTCAAACCGTGGGGAATCCACCAAACCTGCTTCAGTTTCATTGCGGAAGTTCTGTTTGGTTGCGGGCCCGTTCTGCCAGACCAGCCTCTCGACTGCAGCCAGTCCCTCCACCAGCTCGGGCGGCCACTTCATGCACTAGTAAAATCATCCTCATCCGCCCTGTTCGTCCCGCCACACGTGCAGACACCAGTGACGCGGGGGACCACCCCACACGGCGCGCGCGCCGGGTCGCTCGCGCCGCGCGCCGTTCGAGTGCCCCTCACGTCATCCGTCACCGGCTGCCGTGCGTGACCGATCGTATCACGTGTGTGACGTCATGATGAACTCGCGGTCACGTGACGCGCGCAGTCATTAGGGCGCGCCGATCAAGCCGTCACCGTCCGGGCCGAATCGCGGATAAAACAAACAGCCGCTGGGGGGCGCGCGGCGTGTGGCGCTCCACTGCCGCCCGCTCGCTCCCATCGGCCTCGGCTGTCGTGTGGCGGGGACGCTCCGACCGCGGCCGCCCTGCACGTGCAGCACCGCCGGTGGGACGCAGAACAATGGGCTGACATCGACGGCGCTCACTTCGTGTCGGAAACGGCTCAATCGCTGCAGGGTCCTGCGCTCTTCACCCACGAGGCGCGTGTCGAATGCGATCGTATTCGCTCAGGTACAATGGGTGAAATAATGAAATGTTTTAGGGTGCCGCTCTGCAGGAAATTGGTACGTTTGTCTCCGTCATTGCCGAGCGAGCCGATACTAGAAGCGAACTTTCTGGGGTGAGCGGTGGTGAAAGGCACGACACGAGGATGCTAGATACTGCTAGATACCTAAATGATCGATTGAAACAAGCAACATCAACAACTGTACATTACTCACTTTGCATAAAATGTGGCAACACTTGAAAGACTTTTTGCCGTGGGGAATCCAACACCGCATATTGGGGTCAAATGTCAAATGTCGCACCCAGAGCATTGGAGCTGGTTGCAACTGCGTGGAAACCAACGCTATAGAAAAGTATGGTTCTTACTGCTTTTCTCGATAAGGACTTAAGCAACACCTCGGATCCCAGTGGCATGTTGTTCCAAACGCTTGGTGATGCCCAGCTGTTGTCAGGCGAGGGTATGCATAAAGGTGCTTTGGATGATCGCGTGTGAGAAGGAGAAGCGTGGTTAGTGAGAAGCTAATCTTAAAACTGCCTGTTGTTTGCATTGTATTCATCTTACCCTGTGTACTCCATAAAAAAAAATCTAGAAAGAAGAGAAAACGAAGTGACTACACATGCAGTAACTTGTTCAACAGATAGCGTTATTTTTACGTGCAACACCACCCTCAACTGGCAGCCTGAGCACATACGGCTTAGCTTAATGAGTGTTTCCCCTGCGCTTTTCAACCAGATAGGACTTGTGAGAATGCTTCTTTCTGTGCGCTGGACGCATCGCCTCATCCAGGCTAAACTGTTCCGGTCAGGTGTCAGCTGTAGGGCATTTTTTGTCCGGACCAAACCATGCGCAACTCAAGTAACTCCTAAATTAGTGCCAGCAGATTTTCTGTTCGAACAAACAGAATGTGTCTCCTAAGGTAAAGCTGGATACACAACATTTAGAGGGTTTAAAATTCGGAGCATGCAAGGGAACATGCATTTGACTGAAATTGCATTCGTGTGTCGGACCAAACGCTGGTGTAAAACACTAAATGTGGGCTATTCCGCTATATCTCCAGTCACACAGTACAGCAGATTAGCTGTCCTTTAGGTGCTGAAATGTGTTTTTTTTTTCGTTTATCGGTTCGGAACGGTATGCTGTCAAGGCAGATCCCAAAGGTGGTGTTACCTGTGGTCATAATCTAGCTATCTCCAAACAATGCAAATAAGGCCAAAAGAATGCTTTCATCTTGCTATCGTGTCGTGTATTGGTGCATCCCTGGAAAGTGCAAACAAAATCATTACTATCGTTAGCGCCGGAGATGGTACCCTTTGCATTGTATAATTTTGGCGTAGTTTTTATCTTACCGTCGAAATGAGTTTGCTGTGATTGGGTCCAGATGGGTTTTGTTACCTTACTGGCGTGTCTCTTTGAAGGGTCTTGCCCAACTCCCACTGCTTTTCTCAGCCCACTCCAATGTCTGACCAAAATGACATAAACTTGCTAAACTACGATTACAAGTAAAGCTATGTTTTTTGTTGTAAAACACGGGATTTGCCTCTTCCATGAATGGTGATGGCTTCCTGCTGGTAATATTAATAACAACACTGCTGAACCGCACATGTGTAGTGCAACACCAAGGGAATTCTGGCTGCGCCCGTCATCAAGTCTGATAATGTTATTAATTGTAGACACAGCTGCTCTCTATGGGAAAATCCTCTCTTGGCAGCGAGGAGAACAAGGAAACATCCGATAACCTCTCATCATGTAAATTTGCCGCCATCGACATTACCGATCAGTGACGGTTTGTTCTGTCATTTAAAGAAGACAAGTCGGACAAAAGTGATGCAATCACGATGGTGATGAAACCATTTTTTTACTCCTTTTTTGTTTGCAGACCGTTAAAAAGACACGGCTTCAATTAGGCCCATCTGTGTCGCGTCTCAGAAGGCAACACCAGCCGTGCTCCAAAATCGGCAACAAAATAAGCGATTATCCTGCATTGCTATGCTGTGCCGCCCGTCACGGATAATGGCGGAACAGCCGACAGTCCCGGCGGATGCTACAAAATCCAGCTAAGATTGCTCTTTGAACTGGAATTTCGGTACTCTGGACACAGGCACCTGGGCATCAGGGGTGCAAGTTTGTCCCAGCTTAAGACACATGCAGTCGTAGCCCTGTGATACTATATGTCAAGAAAAGACTTAAAATGGCAGAAAATGCGCTCTTCCCTCACATCCCACTTTGGGTAAATTCCTGCTCCTCTGCTTGGGCTGTTATGTGAGGTGCAAGATCCCAGGGTGATGGTTGCACTAAACAAGGATGCACTCCTGGATCAAAGCGGCGGCGTGTGTCATTCCGAATAACTTTTAACAATGTCTTGCTTTGCCCCCCCCCCCCACCCCCACTCCCCTTTCATTTCCCCATTCAAACTAGCGTGCTAAGAACTGGAGTCCATGCTTGGGGTCTATTTTGATCATATATGTTCTGCAGCGGTTATTAAATCCACCTTCGTCGGCGTACCAATGAGTTTTTTCTGAGTCATGTGTTGACCGTCAGGGAGTCCTCTGTACTTCCAACCCCGAGGCTCTGTATGTAGCGTCGCTCAGCCATCTACAGAGCTTTCCCCTCACTTAATTACATTCTGGTAAGGACCGTCTTTCCTGTTGATCGTTTTGGGGACCAAGTAAGCATTTGGTTAGTTCCTGGTGAGCCCGATGAGCTAATGGCCAGCTGATAGCAAGCTTAAGTGAGCTCAGTGAGCTTGTCTGCTTACCCACTGAACCCTGATGACTCCAAGTGTTCCCCTGTCAAGAGATGGCAGATCCGGCCTGTTATCTGTACCACCTCATCCCACCCATACTGGGCCATGTCAGTTTTCCTGAGCACAGAGGACATGGTGACACGAGCAGCCTGCTCCCTCCCCACCACTGGCAGAGTCTGGTCCCGCCAGGCGAGCGCAGGCTAGCCAGCCGCCGCTCCGACCGCTCCGTCTTGGCCGCGCCGCGCCGCGCCGCACGCCGCCGCCGCCGGCGTCACAATGGCGGCCTTTTTCGGCCGCGGGCGCCGACAATGCCTGCCGGCGGGGTGTCCAGCCGCTGTCGGGGGAGCCGCCCGGCGCTGATTTATGCGCCGGCCGCGCATTGTCCGAGGCGAATTCAATTTTTTGTGTGATGTGATACGGTGGGAGTCGCGGCGCGTTTATCATGGCGATGCAGCAACAGGGCGGGATGCTGGGGCGCGCGGAATGCAGTGTGGCAGAGGGTGGGAATGATGAGGTGCTGGGAGGACCGGTCCTGACGGAGAGGGCTGCGCTGGGTGTGTGTGTGTGTGGCAGAGGGTGGACTGATGAGGTGCTGGGAGGACCGGTCCTGACGGGGAGGGGCTGCGCTGTTGTGGTGTGTGTGGCAGAGGGTGGACTGATGAGGTGCTGGGGGGACGGTCCTGACGGAGAGGGCTGCGCTGGGCGGGTGGTGGCGGAGGGTGGACTGGATGAGGTGCTGGGAGGACCGGTCCTGACGGGGAGGGCTGCGCTGGGTGTGTGTGTGTGTGGGCAGAGGGTGAGGATGATGAGGTGCTGGGGGGGCCGGTCCTGACGGAGAGGACTACGTTGGGTGTGTGGGGGGGGAGGGGGAAGGCGGGAGTTTGGGGGAGAGGCGGGGGTTTGGGGGGGGGGGAGAGGCGGGGTTTGGGGGCAATTATGAGGGAGGCTATACTACTAGGGATGATAATGCGGGTTGCGTTTCGTGGTTGATCGTGCCAGTTGCAATGTGGCTAGGTAAATGAGACTTGATCAGTCCTGTGTCTTTGAGCGCTGACTGTGCAATTATTCCAAATATGTTAAATATAATTGAATGCATGCAGCTGGAGGCGTGCACCGTAAACGCGGAAACGCAGGGGATAGTGGGCATGCTTACCGAATTGCTTTTTTGAAAGACTAGTGCCAAAATAAGTTTGAAAATATTACTCTCGATGGCATCTCACATTCTCTGCTTACGATTTGCTTTGTAAAACCGTAAGAACTTCAAAATATCAAGTACACACAGAGGCAGATCGCTTAGTTGCATTACGTGTCATCACATCTTTCCTTTTTCAGATAAAACTCCGCTGCAGAATTTAACACAAGCCGCAACGCAACTAACAGGTGCGTTTGTCGTTATATGTTGCTCTTTACGTACTTCTTAGAGAGTACCGAGCTTCTGAATATTTGTGGAAGACCCCGGCCAGGCATGTTTCACCAAACGTTTTCCAGCTTTTGTTTTTGGAATGCATGTTACACTCCATCTCTCCCCCCCCCCCCCCCCCCACCCCCTGTCCAAGTCCTTGTTCTCTGTCTTTCTCTTTCCGCTGACTCCCAGCTCTCTCCCGCTCTCTCCTCCCTCCGTTCTCATCCTCTCCCCGCCCTCTCCTCACCATCTCTCCGCCCTCCCCCGCTCTCCCGCGCGTCTCGCCGCTCCTCTCCTCCGGCCGGTGCGCGGCGGTCGCGCCTCCTTCCGCCGCCGCCACCCACTGGCCCGCTAATACGACGTTCTCGTGCCAACGGTCGACCGATAATACCACGATACCGTTTTAATTGCGGCCGCGCGGGGCCCGTCCGGTCGATCGGCCCGTCGGTCCCGACGCGACATTATCGCGTCGGGACCGACGGGCCGTCGGGCGGCACGCGGCAGCGCCCGCGCGGTGCTGCACCACCGCCGGCTTTGCGTGACGGCGCGGAGGTCGGGTGCGGCGGCCGCCGGTGTAGCGCGACCCGCACGGCCACCGCCCGACGGGACGCGGAAGAAGTCGGCTCGTCTTCCGGCACGCGCGAGTGGCGAGAGTGCCTTTGCTGAGGCACGGCGCGGTCAGCTGTTGGCTTCTGCTGGGATGGTGCCTGGTCGCACCCAGTTGGCGCGCGCTTGGCTTCGCGAAGGTGCCTGAAGGGCTGGATAGAGATTACGCCCGTGGAAAGACCTTTTAAAGAGATGACATTCCCACTAGAGCTCACCTCTGTTTATATTTAAGTCATATCACGCAGCTGTCTGTTGCATTCTCCTTCACCCTAATGTCCGGTCTATGAATGCAGAGTTCATATTGGTCCAGACTCTTCTGAAGCGCGTCTACTGCGTGCCGTTCCTCGTAGATTCTTCGGTGAGCTGAGATGTGTAGAGCTCACTTCCATCAACGCCTGCCCACAGCTATGAGAAATAAGACCAAGGAGCAATGCACGCTGGGCCTTCGTCCGCCGAATTCGCGCGTTGAGTCAGTTTTGGTTTTTCTCCTGGTGACCGGCAAAGATCTCACAATCTTTCTGAGACAAAGAGAAGCTGTTCTTAGAGCATAACTGCCGAGTTCGAGTCGAGTCATTTTGTTAGTTATATTGAATGGCTAGGCAGCATAACTAAGCCATTGGACGATTGAAGTAGTTGACTGTTTACCAAATTGGCCATCATGTCAGTTTAAAGTGATTTCACATCGAGTGCTGTTTTTTAATCAAACCTTCATAAGCCGATTATATTTAACTTCATCCCTGATGCGCTAGTTCGCCATCACCGCATGGTGAAGCCAGACAAAGCCAATATCTTATTCACAAAGTGGTCGGAGGTGATAACCAGATTTTCTCGCGTGATTCATCACATCCTGAAACCAGAGTTACTACAGTTTGACCTTATGCTTACATAGTAGGGGTTTTGATATGATGCGAAAGATGGCCCAACATTTTATTGGGCCAGCGGTACACGTGATCTGCTGTCGCGTTGAGGTGCGATGACTTCATATTTGAGGCGGACAGTAAGCCGAGTAAAACAGGCCGTTGAGGTAGCCAAAGAGAACGTCATAGCAGTATCTAACATACCGTTGACCCAGACAACGAAGTATCTTATATGCATAGCCTTTTTCAACATAAACTAATGTGTTTCAAAGAGGACATAGGCAAACGCTACGACAGCAAATCATATTGCGCTTGCTGGCGTTGTGCACCTCACGACCTCCAAGGCCAGCTCGAAGATCAGAGGCGTTATATAACAATACACGCTATATTTTAAAGCATGCATGACAGGGCTCAACGTTCGGAAAACAAATGCAGGATGCTGCATTTTGACCGAAATGTTTAGAATATATGCAGCAGAAATAAGAGCGCTGCGCGAATTGGTGTTATGTTTTTAGCCCAAAAAAGCTTTTTAAGTTACTATTGAGCTTGTTCAGATATATGTCGGACGCACTTTGCCGTGATAGCTCCAATTTGCAAGTGTACTAAGTGTGAGAACATCATGTTCACCGTTAAACACAGTAGACAGTATGTATTAAACACAGTAAAAGCAGCGCGTAGGCCTGAAGCAGTTTCGTGCTTAAGCTTGCTGTTGTTTCGCCTCAGTTAACGGTATTCCAATACCTCCCACCAGCATTCGTCTGTTGCAGTTGCGGACCTTTTGGCCTATTTTAGAGTTCCCTCTGATTTTGTTTATTCTCTTGAATTCTTGCAGTTTCTGTGAGCAGCGTGTATGTAATTCGTGTTAGTACTAAGTGTGAAGTGGATTATTAAAAACATCGATGGGAAAGCACTTCCATTAGGCTGCAAGGCAGAACAATGCATTGCACAGTGCCACAACAGTCCATTTAACATGGCGGAGCTTGAGCTAATTGCCGCACTCACGCAGTGCAGCAGTCAAGTAAGCACGCCGCGTACCAGTCGCAAGACAAATGCCACCACACCGCAGAATTACTAGTTGTGAGGCGTAATGGCTATGGTCCTGGCAGGGAGCAGAATACCACAAGTTCGCTTGTAGAACTTACTATTGCCTAAGACGGTTCTTCACATTGTTACCTGTACCGAACCAATGACTCCGAGTGCTGATGATCTGGTAGCAGAATGGGTGTAAGAATCGTCAGACGATTTAAAATTAGTGCTGTTGATCAGGTCATCTTCTCATCGCTTCTTTACTTGAAGGGACACACTTTGTCATCAAAGTTTCATTAAGATGCCAGGCATCCAAGGACGGCGCCACCAACTTTTGATGGGAGGACGAGGTCGACGTTGGTGGGAGGTCATGCGTTTAATAACCGGCGTTCTCGTAAATGACCATCGTCATGAAATTACTCATGTGCATTGCACTGCACCACTGTAGGGCATGTGACGCGGAAATCAGGGATGGGCTGGGGTTGAGGCCCACAACTTTCTGAAAAATTAGAATTGGCCCTTTGGGCGTTGACTACAAAGAATTAATCCAAAAGGGCTATCATCACATTTCCTCCCAACACGGAAAGACGTCCGTTGTTCAATGTCGGGGAACATCACTTGCAGTTTCGTAGCTTTTTCTCAGCGCAGTGCATATCATCTAGCCCAGTTGACCATATACTGTACCAGTGTAAGAATTTGTATGTGTTCAGTGGAAAATGCTTCACAAAGCTTCACAGGATGATATTTCACGGATCTTTTCTCACATTTTTCACGCATCCCGGCCAGCTCTGTTACTCCCTAGACGCCCGATTCCAGGAGTTTTTGTTCGCTTATGTAAATTAATAAAAGAGGGAAACTCTGGCTATGCATTACGGTGGTTGAGACGACATTCCAACGACACCCTGCTTAAGGATCGCGGAGTTTACATGCCACTCCTTCCAGGTTTGCATTAACACAGTTTATGGTGCTGCCCTAAGCGCAGCCAACATTCTCTGATGAGATGCGTTTAGACTGGCAAAAGCGACTGCGATATGGGATGAATCCACTAATCCAGCCGAAGGCAATGCACGTGACACACTACTGTGTTGATCCTCCGCTGTGCTACTACTAAGCGAAGAAAGCTAGAGTCCCCGCCTGAAACTGTATTCGGCTGTCGCTCAACTGGCGGGCCGGCTCATGAGAAGACAGTTCAGTTCTGCGGATTCAGGGGTAGGTTCCCACGCGTGGTGCCTAACATTGCGAAGAGCGGACTTGCGGATATGCTCATTGGCAATGCCCCATTTGCCATCGGCCACGGGGTATTGCCAATGGGCACATCCCCTTGGCAAATGGCACTTGCGATACATATCAACACTATTAAGAATGAAATGTTTTTAATTGGTAATGATCCCGAGAAACACCGACCCCAGTCACTGGGGGCAATGCTCCAATGATTACGATTGATATGATACGATTCCGGCCAGCCACTGCCGGAATGCCCACTGAAAGCCACTCCGCTACAGGTTATAAGACTGTAGAATATTATACCAGCAAAGGCACATGTCTACACATAACGGAACACTTACAGTCCTCACTGAAACTGTCCATACCAGACAAGCTATGAGGGCTCTAATTTTTGGATGTTGACCTCGGATTGATCTTGGCTATCACAGATACCTGCTTGTAGCTTCAAAACTTATCGTCAGGTACAAAACAGGTTTACGAAAAAGCACTAAACGTCGCGTCTCTCAACTTCGACCGCTTTTGTTTTTGTTTGTTTGCTTGCTCCGTTCTTTTTGTGCTGAGCCCCGTAATATGGTTCGACAATGGTATACATGACGCTACCAGCCAAGCCATGTATATGCAAGATGTTTCAAGGAGTGCATTTTCCCTTTTTAAAGATTTGATCCAAACCTTTTGAATGGATGGATTCCTGGAAGCAGAGCTCACGCTAAGCAATGCTTGTTGCGTGAGCCCTGGCCCCTACCATCCAATCGCGTAATTCCAGGCAACGGCAGAATTTAGTGGAGAAGGTTATAACATGCCGCAATGCTCGACACTGTTCGTCCTGCCCTCGGACACCAAGTGACCTTTAACACGACCGCTGCCAACGGCCGCAGGTCATACCTGTCAAGAACAAATAGCGAGCACCTAAGCCGACGCGAACCCACCCCGCCACGGGTAGGTAGATCGGAGGACAAGCACCCTATCCAACTGATCCACATGGACGGACTGGCGGGTATCTGGCAATAAGTAGAAAGGATCCGCAAAATGGTAGTCCCTTATCTTTTGCGTTCTAAAGTTGCTGCAAGAACACCATGGTGGAAGTGGAGATAGCATATGATGGTCATTGCCGAGGAGCGCTGTAAAACAGCAACCGTACCTAGGTAACTAAACATATTGCACTTAGCGCGTATACTACCATTTAAAATCAGTTTTCACATTTTCCCTCCCACATCTCCCATTTTCCTTTCCACACTTCACTTATTGAGTTTGCGTTTTAAACCATGACATTTGTGTCGATCAGGCAGCGTGCGTTTCGGGTGGCCGCGTGGGATTTTTTGCACTAAATAGAATTGAATTGTATTATTCCATTTCAACAACCGGTTTCTTAATATACCAGCTTTAACGTTACCCTGTTTGACTAACTTAAAACGTGACCCTTTTTGACTAACATAAACGTGACCCTTTTTGACTAACTTAAACGTGATCTCCTGTCATTGCTGGTTGCTTCAGATATTTCTTGCAGCACATTTATGTCAATAAATTATGCCGGCGCCAATGATGCCAGCATAGATCCGATTTGACGACGGCTAAAATTTCCAAAAATATAAATGATAAGTGCGGACTAGCGCTAAACAATTTACATTGTATTGGTGTTCAAATGAAATACCTTAGGTGTCTAGGGGCCTAGCCAATCTGTGGGTTCATTTGTAAATCGTGTCTTCGAAGTAAGTATCACCCGGTGTGTGCGTGCTGTCCATCCATATGCTTTGGGCTCGGTTTCTTTGTTCTGTGTACTACGTTTCACTCCCCGCGCCCTCTTAGCGAACTATATATTGAGATACCCATGCCGGTATAAAGATAGTGTCTATTTTACCACGGCGGAGGCATCGATCAACAGGTTGGAAAGAGCTCGGTGAAGGCTTTTTTTAAACTAGGGATCACAAATGGATGGTATATAACCAGCACTTTTCGAGAAAGTTTTAGAGGAAGTGTTCCATGTTTATATAGGGTTTTGAACTGATATATGCCTCCCTTGGGACCTTTCGGTACTGTTTATGATCCTGTCTTCTTAACCCCCCGTTAGTTTTTGAGCTACACGCCCGGCGAAAATGGGGAAGGTATATTAGGGCGAGTATTTTAAAGTCACCCTTGGCATTATGACGTCATAATAACGTCACCAAAATTATGTCACTCCATAAGTCATTGCCGCGATCAAGGCCAAGCAAACTATAAATGTCGAGGACATTCAGATCTGTCGTTCGTGAGTGCCATTTTCAGATTACAACGGTCGATGACTCAATGACTATCAATTAATGTTGTGCAGGTAACGATGACGAAGCACACCATGATGCAATTTAGAAGTTACTAAGCAGAGAATTATGCCGTCTACAGCAATTTTTCCCTACCTCAAAAGTGAACAAACAATTATAAGTGGGCTTGTTTCATCAGATTTCATGCTCGCTTCAATATTTTCAAATATGAAACGTTCCTTCCCATCACTGGTATCACCATTCACTATGGCGACACGTGAAATAAATCATTCTGCATATTATGTGACCTTCCTTCAGCTCTGAATACAACGGAAAATGTCTGCGCTTTAAGCGTGCCAAAGATGCTTACCTTGCAATTTTTGATAACCAGTTACGGCCTAGGTACCTGGCGGCAGCTGCGGACGTCAGTATGGCAGCATTGCTAGCGATGACTGAGGGAGACGTCGGGCCGCCAAAACTCTTTCCAAACGTAAACAAGAAATGATCGTTAGGCTTGTGGTGCTCACTACATCTCTCGAGTGTAGAAGGTTCTGGATTCCTTGCGAGCTCTGAAAATAAATTTAGACCATATTTAGCACTGTATGCAACTCAACATTTTGGCCATACGACGCCGGCAGCCGAGCCTGAGTGGGTACCGGCAGTGCTGTAGGGAGCTGTGCATGGATGATGCCTGCCGGACGCCGGGCGCGCTGGCCCCCATTGCATCACTTCACCGTCAGCCGGTACTGCAGCGGTCCCAGCCAAACCTGGTCAGTTTCAGCACGATGCAGATGTATCTATACTGGTGCTGTCAGTGGTG